GACTTTCAATTAATATTTATTTTGTTCTCAATCTTTTGAGATATTTTCGCACGGTTTAAAAATTTTCAGTATTTTGTTCGTAAAAATGCGTATAACTTAAAAAATGTTAATTTTAATTATACGAAATACTTAATAACATTGAAAGCACATTAATAGGAGTAATTAATGGAAGTATAATAGTGTTCTATTTGATTTTTTCACGGAAATTAATATTTCCCATTTCGAGTCACCCTGTATAAACGATTCGAACTAACTTCAATACAAGTATATGATAAACGGCCGTTTCATAAAATTATCGGAATACTAAAACTACAGCTGTCGGAAACGGCTTCAAAAATATAGGGTATTAAACACAGGGCATTTTTGATGAAAAAATGGCCATTAATCCTAAAACACTCAGTATAGACCATAACAAGCCTACTTGTATTAAGTATAAAAGGAGGTATCTATTAATGCTATAATATACATGGTGGTTCATTTAAAAATATATGTTTGTTTCCCATATATTTATTAATCACTTAATTATTTGAAAATAATTTTAGTCTCATCTATAATTTTGGTATTTAACATTTTGCTCTAAAACAAATAATAAAAATAAATAAAAAAGTTATAACTTTGACACACTATTTGGACGTATACAAATTTTTTTTAAGCATTGTTTTATTCCACACCACACATGAAGTCACCAATTACTGCGAAAAGTAACTTCATCGGCTACTTTTTGTTAAAAATCAGGGTTTAGACGTTCTTGGTGTAGTTCCATATGGAATGGATGATATTTGTGTTTGTGCTGCGGTTAACAGTAGATTGGAGTGTATCACATAAGCTAGACGACATGACGACTACTGATCTTGAACTTGAAGTAAAATTTCCAATCCTTTGCATTTTTCATATTCGATCCTACCACTAGCATCAAACCGTTCGATTAAACACTCAAGACATTGTCTAGTTGGTATATATCTATTAGGGTACTTCGCATTGTAAAGTCTTTCTGCCAATAAAGTATTTTTTTCCGCCTCACACAATATATAAATCATATCATTCATTCGGCTTTAGGAAAATGAATAATTAGTTTTTTTTTAATTGACATTTTTAAATTGTTACTCAGTTGTCAGGTAAAAATTTGACACTGTAAGTAAATACTGGAAAAGTTGAAATAAATCGCAAAGTAATAACTTCAAAAATTCCAACCGGGTAGAATAATAAAGGAATAATATAAAACAATCTCTTATTACCCTTATTTGCCATTAGGGCTAGCGTGTAAGACAAAGAAAGGAATCCCCATTACTACCCGTCTTCTTCCAAATAAGGTTTGCCTCACAAAATCAATATTGGCTGCCTTGCGAGTACCATTTCAGCTTAGATTGAGTCAATGTCAATCAGTTTTCAGAAGTCGACTTTGAGAAGGACCTTGGATACGTTTGGCTATCACACGTCGTGTAATTTACATTGTCCGCGGTTAAACACGCGCTAATGTAACCACAAAACAAACATCGCTTTAGTTAATCGTAAGCGTTTTAACCGGGACATAATTATCAATACCCAGATGGAAAGTGGATGTCTTGGACTTTCTTCAACTGTCACCGTACAAGCCACGCGTGCGCCTCATTGTTTCCTCCGCTGCAATTAATTCTTAGGTGGACAATTTTCACTTTCCAGCGTACGAAAGTAAAAATTTTACGGACCCCATTAAAAAAAAAACGATAAACAAATCAAATTTCGCGAACGTCGCTTCTTGGCTCAGTCCAGCTTTCTATTTGTCGTTTTGATGTAGTGGAATTCTTTCGTCGCGATTGACGGTCTATCGTTTTTCTGAGGTGCGAATTTCTGTTGAACTGTGTAGAGGCACAAAATTGGCAATAGCTATGTGGAACTGTTTAATTGCCTTTAGCCAATCGTACACTTTGGAGACCAAAACCCAGGCTCAGGTAATATTGAACAGTTGAACGTTGTTGAAACGAGAAAAATAAAGATAATTTCAAATACCTCCCTTTTGAACACAAATTTATCATTTAGGGTTAAGATCTCGAACGAAAGTTGAATAAAAATAGTTCCAATTCTTCAGTCACTAAATTAAATTTCAAAACGTTATTCAATAAGTAGTTATGTATATTGAGACTAAATTTTTATTTAACATTTAGAACTTTTACATTTTTTGAATATTATGTATGTAATATTAATTGCAACATTTATTATACAACTTATATAGGCATACGTGCAACAAATTTTGGGAATCGATAATACTCTTCAAACCAGAAAAAATATCTTTGGACCTATTAGTATTCATCTTTGAAGTTTTACCGAATAAGATTTCATGTCCGGTTTTATCATTGTGGCCGTCAACTCTGTGTGCATTTTCTTTGAGCCTAGTTTATATTTTTTGCCCTCTCTTTCCATAATCTTTGCGGCATATGCTGTAAACTCCTGATACCGTAAACGGAATATTGTTGGACAATTTTTTCCAAAGAACTTTTGATGTATCATCAATGATGTTTTGAATGAAAGAAAGGACAACAGTGGCAAGTTTTCTTTCTAACTCATTGTCTTTAGAAGGTTGTGATGAATTGTATTTTGTAATGGAAAGCTTAATATCTCTATTGTATAAATTATTAGAGAGAAAAACAGATATAATCTGTTTCAATTCTAGGTTTCTTTCTCAAAGACTTTCATAAATATAATCGGGATAACTGGTGATAATGAGGAACCCACAGCTGTTCCCGACATTTGTTCATAAATTTGACCGTTACAAGAAAAATTTTAATATCTGAAATAATTTTGAACTAACCAGAATATCGTTTGGATCTAATGTATTTTTAATTGTTCAATGAAATAGCAGCAAATGAATTTTTGATTTTTTTTCACCATAATTCAATTAAATTAATTTAAAACTGTTCAGAGGATAGAGTTAAGTAAACAAATTTATTAAGTACCACAGGTGTCTTTTGTTTCCGTTATTATTTTCAATTTACATTTAATTTTTTCGTACGAAATTTTTTTGTAGGAATGACAAAATCAGACAGACAGATTCACTTGTTCTTGTTCATTTTATTTTTGCCGATGTTGTATATGGCCCCTGTCTCCTTAGTATAGACAACAGCAGAATTCACCGCGTCCAGAAAGCATGCCTTCTATTCATTTATGCCACCTGTCTCGTATCAATTAAAGGAAACGAAAGGGCTGTCTATGGAGAAGCGCAAAATCTTACACTCAGCTGTGTTGTTTCATAAAATTATTATTACGCATCGGCCATAGTGTCTAACAAATAAAATTCGCTGCTTCATATCTCCTTCACCCCATAGGACAGTCTACTATGATATTTATTTTATTTATTTTTTGTTTAACAATATTCCGCACAATATAAAAACATTATCAGTTGGCGCGTTTAAATATCAATGTAAACCGTTTCCTTTAATGTAATATTATGTGAATGACTTTTATATATATATATATATATATATATATATATATATATATATATATATATATATATATATATATATATATATATATATATATATATATATATATATATATATATATATATATATATATATGACGTTAATAGACATTATATATAGCTTACCTTGGGGACTGAACTAGAATCTTTTTTCAATTGTATTTCGACATCCTTTTTGCTTGCAAGAACTGGTTATTGGATAGATATAGATGCTGATTATGATAATCAGTTTTTCCAGAAATAGGTTTTAATGTAAAAGCTAGATATTTTGCTAGAGAATATGTTGGAGAACCCAACGGTGCTAACAGTTAGTCGAAGGTATAGCTCTGGTTTGTGAATCTTAGGGAGTCCGTAGAGACGAAGTCATGACTTTCTCACGAATTCTGATAAAGAAGAAACCTTAATAACAGATTTAAGGTTACGTTCCATAGATGACGTAGGATGTTTTTTAAGTTGCCGATGCGATCCGACTGTATCTTGAATTTTTTGTTGCGTTTAATGACCACCGTAGCATTGACTTTTATTGATATTTCACACGTAATTTTCTCTTTGACGGATCAAAGATGTTGAGATATTTTTTTTCAAGTGGGAAATGTGATTTTACGCCCCCCTCAAACAATATTAAGCACGAACAGAGTAGATTGCGGCCAGTTTTAGTAAAGCTCTGATGATTGGCGAAGTGTCAGCAAGTTTGATTTATAAAGAACCGACGCAAGAGGAATCCAGAAGATTTGTAAATAGTATTACAGTAGCCTGTGCAATTTTCTTTTAAAAAATAGACCTTTAAGGACGTGAAGAAGACAATTGAATGAATTGAAATTTGGGACACCCACTATTCTTTAAACACTCATAAGTTGATCCGTCCGGACGGCACTAATACTTTTAATATATATTATTATGTATTTTCAGAAGTTTATTAATATGACTGTATGATTCGTGATCAATATGAACAACAGAAATCTAAAAATTCTGTGGTATGGTAATTTATTACGTGTTGTAAATTTTAACTTTTGACGTAGAAACCTAAAACATGATGTTTCTGATTCTGTTTAGCAAAACGATTGGCAAGGAAACGATGTTATTCCTCGCACCGAGGTTTATAAGGGAATTTACCTAAGTCAAGTAAGTAAAGTAAGTAAAACAGTTTGGATACTCTGTATAGAGTTTTGAAGGCGGTAGCTGTTCTAGGAATCGTTATTTAATTGAAATTCAGAGTGGCAATCGAAATCCAACTACAATCTTCTGGCGTGTAATTATTTAATTTTTTGCTCATAGCCAAATCAGATCGCATCGGCAATCTCATTTTAATAGGTACAAGTGGGTCAACGAACCGCGATTTCCATTCCAAAAAGGCGACCCGCCTCGTACATATTTATATGTTTCTTCCTAGAACTGTAATTATTTCGGAAGCGTCAATACGTTGTACCGTTCGCCCACAATTGACCGTGAAGGGTTGGCTGACCCGTTAGCTTTAGTTAATTGGTTTTTTCGCAGCATCATCGCAAGGTTGAGACAGCGGCGTATCAATATTCGATTGTTTCAGACATGTCCGCAACAATTTGTGAAACTGTCGGACTTGGAATGCCAAAAACCGAAAGTCGAGATCGATTTCACTCCCCGAATGAGCAGGTCGATCCCGGAGAGCCACTGGGTAGAAAGTCCGTTCCTCATGTCAAGGTCCGCGTGCTATAGGAGCGCGCCGCATCCCATAGAACCCGAACCAAGCGAAACCACTTCGGATTCGGACAGTGCCATAACAAATTCCAGGTGCGTTTATATCCAGTGAGAGATCTCTATGATCTAGACCAGGTTCCCAGACTTGTTTTCTCGTAGACCACTTTCAGGATTTGTCTGGTTCTGGTGGTTCCCTTGCCGCTACCCCATTTCTACCATATTCCCTAAGCTCGACAAAGATTAGATTTATGTAGACTCCCGCTAGAGAATATACAGGATGTCCAAATAGTGTGTCAAAGTCTAAAAGAAACAATTTAAAATTATTTTCATACATGTGATTTATAAATATGTGGGAAATCATTTTTTCAAAAGGAATATTATGACAACTATTTGACCCAGAAAATTGATTCTACGTTGATATCTAATGGTTGATTAACCTTTTGACTTTTGACCAGTATTTGAACGATATCGAAATGAAAATGTAACTATTTGGAACAAAAAATGATAGTTTAAGCTGATATCTGCAGTTTTAATGCGGTTTTAGACACGATATTTTATACTCAATTACACAATGTACGGTTGTTATGGTCTGAGTGTTTTAAGATTTATGGCCCTTTTTCCCCAAAAATGCCCTGTGTTTAATAACTTATATTTTTGCCGCCCTTTCCGACAGCTGTAATTTTATTGTGCCAACAATTTTATAAAGTGGTACAGTCATTATCTATCCTATACTTGTCTTAAAATTAGTTCAAATCGTTTATACAGAGTGAGTCAGAGTCAAAAATATTAATTTTCGTGAATAAATATTTCCATTAATTACTCCAATTTCTCTTTCAATTTTATTATGCATTCCCTGTACCTACACTTTTTTAGGAACAAAATATTGTAAACTTTCAAACCGTGCGAAGATATCACAAAAGATTGAGAACAAAATAAAAAAAAACTGAGACGAATTAAGTATAATTCTTTCAGATAATACCATGCGTTACATGTTAATACAAAATATAATGCGGTAATAATTTATTAAATCCGAGATTTAAACAAAAATATAATTATGAACTCTGCAACTTTGGAAGAACAATTTAAGCAGTATTTTACGTTAAGGATAATATTAAAGATGCAATATTCATATTGCTAATAGTTCCATAAAAATCACCTAAAAACTAAGAACAAAACTGCAAAAAAAGAACTGTTTAATTAAGTTTCACTCTAATACGGTCTTTAATCGATTGAGCAGCATTCGCTAGCATTTCATGACTAACCCTTTGAACGGCTTATCCTCCCAGTTTTATACACCTGGGGTACATCTTTGCTAGCTCATAAGTTTTTCCTATCCACCGTTGAGGAAATAAATTATTTAAATAGTTCGTAACTTCGAACCACATTCTCCGCCTCACATTATAAAAATTCTGAGTAAATTTGCCCATTAACTGTATTTTCAAAATAATGAGGCCCTCCAACGTTATTTCCTATAATACCACTCCAAACATTTAAAGATCATTTTTCCTCTCTATCCTAAAATGAGGTTTATTGTTAGCATGATATTCAAAAATTGTGCCTATTAACACAACCGTTTTTATTGAATGTCTATTCATCCCTGAATAACACATATTCGAAAAAATCATCTTGCTCAAAAATGCTTTCTCATGTCCATTCTCAAAATGTTAATCTAATTTGATAATCATTTTTATTAAGTCCTTGATGAAGTTGTACATGATAAGAATGTATCTTATTTTTTCGCAAAATATTATTCACACATCTCTTGGAAATTATTAAGTCTTGGGACATTTGTGGTACATGTGGATTTTTTGTGACACTAAGTAATACTTGAAATTCATTTTCCTCGTTCGTTCTTTCCATATGCAACACTTCCAGTTCGAGTAAAATGATTCATAAAATTCTCAAGAATTCTTTTAGAGGACTGCGTTCTATCGGGATAATGTTGCTTATAAATTCTCATAGCTAATAATAAATTCTTCTCGCTAGATCACAGTACGAAAATTATGTCGACCATTTTTTCTAGTGAAAAATTCATGTTTGAGTTGCAAGTTGCAAGCAACTAACAACAAATTAATTGAGAAAATTAATACAAAATTGATGATGTTTTTTAAGAAAGGCAGAATTTCTCAATTAATGGAAAGAAAGGAAGGTTTTTTTTTTACATAATTAAAAATTTACCTATTCATTTTTATTTTCCTTGGCTTGTTGCGATATTTTCTCATAATTTGACAAATTTTCGGAGTTTTGTTCTTAAAATTGTATATACCTCAGAAAATACTTTGTTAATAAAATTGAAAGAAGATATTTTTCATTTTGACTCACCCTGTATAACCGATTAAATCTAACTTCAACACAAGTATAGGATAAATGACCACTTTATAAAAGTGTTGGCATAATAAAACAACAGCTGTCAGATATGGCGTCAAAAATATAGTGACGAAAAGCTATTTGATTATATTTAAAAGCGACTCAAATAGTCCTTATCCAGGGTGTTTCAAAATATATGCGCCAAAAAAAAAAAGAAAAAAGTCGATATAGATTTATACAAATCTACATTAAAATTGCAGATAACTACTTAAAACCCCACTTTCTTGGATTAATAGTAGGTTTTTCTTCCATTTTTCAAGCAGATTCCAGTCAAAATCGGCTCCTCCGACACATATCGTACCTAAAACCGCATCAAAACTGCAAATATCAGCTTAAACTATCATTTTTTGATACAAACAGTTTCATATTCATGTCAATATCTTTGAAATGCTAGTCAGAAATTGGCGTCTTTAAGCGTTATAGTAGAAAAAACCTTTATAAACCATTAGATTTCGACGTAAAACCCCCTTTCTGAGTCAAATAGTTGCCGATTTCGATAAGATCGATCAGAATCTGCTTTTTCGCCTCTTATTGCACGGAAACCTAACTTAGAAATGCAGATATGTACTGAAAACCCCTCCTTTTGGAACAAATAATTGGTTTTCGCGCTTGATTTATAGCAGATTGTAGCCAAAACAGGCATTTTCATAACTTACCAGGAAGAAATCGAAAACTGAAGATGACGACTTAAAAGCCCATTTTCTTGGATTGATGGTGGGTTTTTCTTCCTCATTTCAAACACATCCTGTTCAAAATCGGCTTTTTCGAGTCTTATGGTAACGAAATCTACCTTAGAAAAGTAATTATTTACATAAACCTTTTTTTATGGAACAAATAATTGGTTTTCGCTGTTGACGTCGAGCCGATTATAGTCAAAACCTGCATTTTCATAACTTATCGGACCGAAATCCAGTTTAAAACTGCAGATAATTACTTAAAACCCACTTTCTTGGATTAATAGTAGGTTTTTCCTCCACTTTTTAAACAGATTCCAGTCAAAATCGGCTCCTCCGACACATATCGAAACTAAAACCGCATCAAAACTGCAGATATCAGCTCAAACTATCATTTTTTATCCAAACAGATAATTTTTGTTGTCCATATGTTTCAAATACTAGTCAAAATTGGCGTCTTATAGTAACGAAAAACCTTTATAAACCATTAGATATCGGTGTAAAATCCCCTTTCTGAGTCAAATAGTTGCCAATTTCGAAAAGATCCCTGTCAGAATCTGCTTTTTCGTTCCTTAGTGCACCCAAATCTACCTTAAAAAAGCAGATATCTACTTAAAAGCCCTTTTTTGGGACAAATAAATGGTTTTCGCTCTTGATTTCGAGTAGGTCATAATCAAAACCTGCATTTTCATAACTTACCCGACTGAAATCTACATTAAAACTGCAGATAACTACGTAAAAACCCACTTTCTTCGATTAATAGTATTCAAAAAACAATTTTGTTTTCACCATGTTATTTTTCAACGAAAAAATTTTGCTTAAAACAGATTAAAATTGTGAGCCCCAATGGCTTGCAATTTTTCTTATTTTATATATTTTTATAATCATTTGTAATTTGGTTTTTTAGAAATTTTGCATTTAAGGGTAGCTCGTATATGGTTTCTTTTCGATAACGTATCGAGAAGCTAACAACTGTTCCTTATATAACTTTAATGAAAAATTTTCTATTAAAAAAATTATGTAAATGAAATAAGTAATCATTATAAGTTAGTCAATATTCAGTTAAGCCAAAAAGTTTTAAGCAAACTTCATTGTTATAGATTGTTTTATTTAAATTATCTTCATCGTATAAAATGAAAACATAAAACGAACGAAGAATTTTTGGATGTTATTAGATGTTCGGAAGATTACATTGTTTTATGAAGTTCAGCTGCAGATCGTCTTTTGCACATCTAATTTTACGCAAAATAAGAACCTCCATTAAAATTCAAAATAGAAAGATTAGGAGAACGTAGTGGTCACAAAAATGTTGCAACTTACGAAAAACTTTTGAGTACCTTTATTTAACTTTTGCCTTACTGGTTTAATGGTTTAACATCTCTTATTGGAAAGATTTGAGGTTGTTTTTTAAAATAACGGAACAGTCCTAGAAACTTGAGAAAAAAATAGTAAATCGAGAGAAAATGCTGGAAATTATATTCGAGTTTATAAAACGTCCACCAGGGAGCGTAATTGTTATGTTTCTTTGTAAAAACCCGGTTTCTTTAAAATTTTCTATTCCTAACTATAACTATGTTTTAAAGGTAAGACAAATTTTAATCTCTTTTTCGTTAATGGCCTTTGCTGTTTTTCTGTAAGGAAAGAATAGCAGCAAATGATTTCTGTTCTGTTTGTATTACTACTGAAATTCGTCAATAGTTAATAAAATTAATTAGTCTTCCAGAATTGATTAGTGATTTTAATTTTAATTTTTAATGGAAAAATAAAGGATAAAAAATTTGAAAACGTCGGCTGCTGGCTAATTTTATCCTCTTCGAAGTAATGTAAAAAAAGTAATAATGATTAATAACAAGCCGAAAATGGAAATGCTTCACAATATTCACCTTTTTTTCTAGTTTTAGGTTCCTATTTTAGATTAGGATAAAAATGTTTTGATGCAGTTATCACTGGGTTGTTGGACTATTTAGTGACGTATAAAAGGCAAATCTTTGCATTTTCTTTTTTGAAAAAATTTGGTAGTAGGGTAAACAATCGCAATCATCCTCCTCCCCTTCACCCTTTCATTTTAGATATAGAGCAAAAAGCGTTAAAAGTTTTGAATTTGTCTCTGCTTCAAAAATGATGCTTACTCAAACTATGTTTAATGTAATCAAATGTCTCGGGGCCGTATTTTAAAAATTATGAATGGCCTATTTACCTAATAATTCTTTTGCCAATTTCTGGGACCCTTTACTGGGATACCCGGTATATTTGTGAATTTCGTTAAATAGGGTCCGAAAATTTAGCTTATTTATAAAATGTTAGATCGAAAAGAGCATATAAGTAATATACTATTCCGAACACTGCATCATTCTATCTTCAAAGATAATTTGGTTATATACATACATTGTTTGCAAAGCTAAAGTGCTATTTAGCTCGTTGATTTATGTTTGCTGCTTGTGAACTATCGCATATCAGAAGACAATACACAAACTTAACGATGATAATTTAAAATTTAAATGTACCGCACACAAAAAAATTGCGCCAAGGACTTTAATTATTTCGTATTTTACTACTGGAAAGGTGTTCTAACCATAATAAGAATGTTTTCGATGAATAGTTCGTCGATTGATTGCCTCGTTAATTTTTCGTGCGTCATGCCAATCTAAAGTTTATTATTGTCTTCATGATATTAACGTTAATATTACCCATTTTTAATGCAAGCCATAAGTGAAGAATGTTCGAAATCTCGGCGGTTATGTAACTCGCTACATGAGTCATCACTTAATAAGACCACAACAATAAATAACGCCAAAAATGGGCTGTTGATGGTTTGTTATGTCTGCATAACATTTATTTTCGAGCTTTAAGTTTATAAATTATTTTCATCAGATTTAAGATTTACTGTGTTCTTGCATTGCAACTTTAAATCCGAAATAAGACTATGTTTCGGAGAAACTGAACCTCGTCACGTTGTAATAATCTAGAATTCTAAAATAACACGTCTTCGTTGACAAACCGACTACAAACTTATTAGTTAACTGTTTGTAAACTTAACTGTTTGTAAGGTCTGCTTCAGAGATATTCGTTGCTTTCTTAATTATTGCATCAACATTTTATATGTTAGCATTATCATACATAAACCAAAAAAATGGCAAACTTTTTTTTCGAATTCTTCGTTAATATCTTCGAAGCTTTAACTGTGGTGATCGCGCAGCCGCCAATTTGTACTATTTAATCTATAAGATTTAACCAAAGTTTACAGATTACTGTATAAGCGTAGTTTACAGAATCTGTTTCAGATGTTCTTCACGGTATAGTGCTTTCACAGATAAACTGATTTTGGCGTATTCAATGCAATAAAACTACCTGTGCCGGTCCTATTGTGTAGAGAAGGGCGTGGCAATAAACATGCTGTAAATGAGAAATGTAAAACGATGAAACGAAATAATAATAATAATAATAATAATAATAATAATAATAATAATAGTCTTTATTGAGAATTGAGATACATAATAAAGTAAGTAATCATGGTTTATCTAATAACACGACTTTAATGTTGTTTTCCAATAGTTTTAAGGATGATAAGGCAAAGAAATATCTATGCTGTTTAAAAGTTTTTGTGGCATTATAGTTAAACCCCGCTCGTAAAGAGCAGTTCTGTGTTGAGGCACAGAAAAACTAGCTTATATTTTGTATATATTATATTTATATAAGATTTTAAGATCTTGTTCTCACTAAATCTTAATAATACGTCCACCGTTACTCCTAAGTTTTTGGCCTTGGTAGCAAACGACAAGGGTTCCCCATTTATCTCAAGATGCAAGTATCTTTTCAGGAAATGCATTGCAGAGTCGCGAGCAAAAAGTAGCACTATAAGTAACAACAGATTGAAATTAATATCTGCTTCGACCTCATTATAATCTTTTTTTTTCATTTTTATTTATTTAAACATTAGACTACAACAATATATTATCACAGTCAAAAAATTCATTTAAGCTATAAAAGACATGACGAAGTACATTGGTTTTTACTCTGTATTTAAACTCAGCTGCGCTATGTGTCTGTTTCAACGAATTAGGCAAATGATTAACAAGCTTAATCGACAAAATGATCGGACTATGTCTGGAATTTTTTTTGTCAAAATTGTTTCTTAACCGTTGATGCAGATCAGGATTTTAAAGTGGGTCATAACTGATAAGAAAAAAACAGAAAGAGTCCATATTCCCATATCACGATATCGATATCTACTTTTGACCCACCCTGTATATTTCATGTTTACTGCATACTGTTTTTCTTGAAATCCAATACTTGATTTTCAAATAAATTTGGTCCATATTTTAAACGTTCAGTGTATTGATTTATATCATTCTGTATGCAGTTCTGGTATCGGATATCGTTATCTCCACCTAAATTAAATGTAATGGTTTAACAATATAATTTTAAGCAATATAAGAACTTTTTACATTAAGAACATGGTTGACTAAATTTTTTCAATTATATCCTTATTATATTTTTTAATTTACTCTACAATACTAGACTTAATGCTTAATTTTAGTTGGTGCTTCATGCACTCTATAGGATTGAAGACATCATAATAGTATGGCGGGAAATATGCTCGCTTTTAAAACTTCACTTTTTTTATAACTTTCTTAAAAATATATATAATTTGCTGCAATGTAGTTTTGAATCTCCAACTTTTTATTAAATAATAATAACACTGCGGTAAAACAATGTATACAAAAGGAAACATTCTTGATCATGGTTTATCTGAGAGGCACAGTAAACACGATGCATGAAAATATTGCAATCTCTACTACCGAATTGCAAGAAATTTGACAGATAAAATTGCCAGTGATTTTTTTGAGCAAAATAGAATTTGAGCGTATAAATCTCCGCAAAGTAGAAATATGTATTTAGTATCAATACAATGCTACTCAAGAAAACCTAAAACAAAAAGAATAAAAATTCTACATATGGGAGAGGAAAATTTCCAGTAAAAAATGTTTTAGTTTTTAACAAAGGTAAGTAAGTTAATTAATCAAATTCCAATTACTTCGGACAAATGAAATGGTTTATTAGGGAATTAAAATATTATCACACCACAACACTTACGCTTTAGTAGGCCCATCATGCCTCTTAGACAGAACTCTTAGTTGTGTACATTTTAAACAAAAAAATCTAGATTTTACTTTATAGTATATATATATATATATATATATATATATATATATATATATATATATATATATATATATATATATATATATATATATATATATATATATATATATATATATATATATATATATATATATATATATATATATATATATATATATATATATATATATATATATATATATATATATATATATATATATATATATATATATATATATATATATATATATATATATATATTTGGACAACAATATTTGGGAGTCCGAGATTTATTTTTACTCAATACTGCTTTTTCGAACTTTCATTGTCTATAAACGCTTTTTTTAACACGACGCGACGTTTCGGCTAACCGTTATCAAGTGAGAACTGAGCTCTACGATCTAGCCAACGTCATCGGTTGGGCAACGTTGAGGGGTGGGACAGCTCAAGGTTCCTGATGCGGGACAGTAGACACTTTTTGTTGTGTGTAATGTTTTCTGGTTTTGTTTTCGTTATTAAACCACGGAAGGCGGCTTTGACGTTGTTTTGTTCCAGTTCTCCTGATCTTTCCGGAAACTTTTCTCTGGACACTGATTTATGTGTTGCTTTTTTATTGAGACTTAGTATTCACGTCTTCAATCAGTCTCTTTGACTAACCGTTCTGCATTAGACCTTTAATTCTTTCAACTTTGTCGTTAAGTAGAGTTCGGTTGCTGAAGATAGTCTTTACTCTTTTGGATCATTCCTCGTTTAGTTGTTGCTAATTGGTGGGATGACTCGTTTAGTTATTGGCCTGTATGTATGGGGTTTCTGACCATGCAGGTACTAATCTGAATTCGATATGGTGACCAAGACATCAAGGAATGCTCCGTTTTTCTCCTTCTCCATTATGAATTTTATAGACCGAGTGATGCCATTAATGTGATCCAGGGCATGTTCTAGCTGTTCCCAGTCTTTGTCCCATATTATAAAGGTGTCGTCGACATATTTCAAGTAACATTTAGGTTTGTTAGATGATGATTTGACAGTTTCTTCCTTGAACCATTTCATGTAAATATTTGCTACTACCAGCGCATGTGGTGATCTCATTGGCAAGTCATCGTCTTCAATTTTCAATTGAAAATACGAATTACGTAGGCAGCAATCCAGTAGGTCCATGATGACTTCCAATGGTAGTGCGGGTCTTTCCCACAATGTTGAATCTTCTTGAAGCTTGGTCCTAATATTCGCTAGGGATGCGTCCAAAGGTATGGTCGTGACATTCTACTTCGAAACTGTCATAATAATCTCCCTGATTTAAGGGTGTTGTCTTCATTATGTCAACAAAGTGGGCAGAGTTCTTTTAGGCAATGGAAGCTTGAAACACGAGTATTGACCAGAATCAATCGTTATCTACCGTTAGAGAAATAATGTTTTTTAGTGAATTTAAATGTTGCTTCTCCGTTCGCGTATAGTTATAATCGATTAATTTTTCTTTTTGTTCTTTAGCAGTACGCTGCAACCAAAGAAAGCCGTGCGTCGCTTAGGTACGGACCTGCTACGTATGTTCCTGGAGGAAATCGGACCAGACGTAGTCGTGGACGTAGACGGGCGCAAAATTAAGGCCCACAAATGTATTTTGTCTTCGAGGTGTCAATATTTCGCTGCGTTATTGAGCGGCAATTGGCTAGAAAAGTCTGGGAACGTGATATCCCTACAGGTAAGAACAACGACCCCATAAGTTCACAACCGTAGCGCTGTCTGTTAAGTCGCCAACTGAATTTTTGAGATGTTATAATGACTGAATTCATGTGCCTAATAAGAGATAAGAGGTAGATACTTGTTAAGAGGTAAATGAAGGTATTGTTTAGTAACCCTACCGGCTTGATGTTGGTTCTAGTTTTTTTGTCGAGGCTTATCGTAAACACTAACTGCTTGATGTTGGTTCTAGTTTTTTTGTCGAGGCTTATCGTAAACACTAACTGATTTTTTATTTTAAATATTTATAAAATAAACTTAAACTTGGTTTTTTCAAGTCCAATATTTTAAAAAATTTAAATGAATTAGCTTGTGCTCGACTTTTAGACGATTTTATTTATGCCGATTCGATGTTGGATTTGTCAAGCCGCCATATTAGAAGTCTTAAACTTAAACTTAAACTATATACATACACTTCGCATCAAAATTTGGGCCAATTTCGAATTTTCAATTTTTTTTCGCAAACTGCTGACTCAATTTGGATATGTATTTTTTTAATTGTAACCAAAAACATTTTTATTTTAATTTAAGTTATTTTCATGTACAGAGTGTTTAAAAAAAACAGCAACCGTCAACACTATTGTGTCTGCCTAAGTCTTTTTTATTCACGTCTTTATCTCACTTGATAAACGAAATACGGAACTTAATGTCAGACGTAATAATTACAGTTTATTACAGAAAAAATTGACCCAAAATCATAAACATAAATACAATAAAGCGTCAATATCGGTTGTTTCCTCCACTACTCCTGATAACAGCTTGAGAGCGACGACTCTTACTTTGAAGCAGTTGCTTAATTTGTGCTTGATTGATTTTAGTCCATATTTGCTTGATAACTTTTTCTGCATCATCGAAAGAGAGGGATGATGAGCTTAAACTACCTATGCATTTGAACTAATAAATATTCTATTGGGTTACGGTCTGGACTGCGTAGATGCCAGTCCAAGGTCTTGATATTCACCTCGTTTACTATTCTTGCAGTACGTATTCTGGCATTATAAAACTCTTCTTGTAATATGTCAAACTTATTCGTTTTAAATTAACTTTCATATTTTATTTAGCGACTCATTGACACCTAATAGTGCTGAAGGAAATTCCTACAGAATGTGACAAATGTTGAGTATAAAACTGATAATATCATGTGTTCTTCGACATTCTCGCAAATTTGCTCCTCTTTAAAACCCGCTAGAGCCCTGTGAGATTGATATAAGAGTGTTTTGTTTAATGGCAGAATCGGATCTAGTCTAATTAGACACAAAAGCTAGATTACACCCTGTGTCTGAGTATCTCAAAATTTGACAAAATAGCTTCAATACCGGAATATCTAGTTAATAACAATATCGGAAACATAAATAAACTGGAACCAAAGCAACTACAAAAAGTTTATAGTAACCCCTCAATAATGATCACGTACGTTATAATATAACCTTCCGGAGTCCTCATTTCTTTAAAGATGTAATATGGGCTGACCAAGTGTTTATCATCTAGAAAGGAATTTTTAATCGATACAACAATCGATATCCATCACACATGAATCCTCATTTTATTCATTGGCATTAGAAAAGTACCAAATATTCAGATTCTATAACACTACTCGTTCAGTTGTAGTGTACAACTGAAACTTTTCTTTCGTGTTACGTTTAAACTCTTATAAAACTATATATTTTTTTATGGAATAGCCTGTATACTATACCGTCAACTAAGATAACACTTTAAAAGTTGTTTTTAAAATGGTTTACGATATTTGACTTAATTTTCATTTAGGAGTTTCATTATTTGTTTTGACGTCTTTGTTAGGCCATTTTGACAGAAACAATACCTGTTAAACTGTTTAATATTTAATATCTACTATATGAACAATAACAAGAATTAATAATATATTTATTTAATTCTTGTATTTGGCCAAATGTTGAAAGTATCATATAACCTTTCTTTTTTTTTAATATAGAACACATTATGATTTACGATATTTAACTTAATTTTCACTTATGAGGCAATAGTTTCATTATTTGTTTTTACGTCTTTGTTAGGCCATTTTGACAGAAACAATATTTGTTATACTGTTTCATATTTAATTTCTATGATATAAACAATAACAAGAGTTAATAATATATTTATTTAATTATTGTATTTGACCAAATGTTGAAAGTAGCCAATAGCCGTTTTTTATTTTTTCTAAGCTTCTATAGCTTGATTAATCCTTTTAGAATGATTGCTGTTTATATTATTTATTTCAGTCCTAATTCCCTCTTATTTTTGAAATGACCGCATAAAAAAGTGTCTAGAACCGTATGGTATTAGCTGCCCATATCGCTGTTCCGTGTCTTCCAATCCATTCTCTACATTTATTGTTGAGATAGTCTGTTGCTCCAGCAACATTGTGTGGAGGCGCTCCATCTTGTTCCAAATAATTTCACCAACTTTATTATTATTATTATTAGTCTATTATCTATAAACTCTTCTACTTCTTCTGGTATCTATCACCTGATAATGCACCTTTATAAAATATAGGTCCTACAACTTTGTTCTTTTTAATTCCACACCAAGCATTAACAGAATAACGCAAAGAACGTTTGAGTTCGAAATATTTTTCTGTATTCCAATAGTGCAATTTTTTTCTGTTTCGCACCCCTTGTGTTGTGAAAGAAGATTCGTCTTAGTTTTTCTGGCGTAAGCTTACAAAATATTAGTCTTTGTGTCTTATCTTCTTCCTTGAGGTCCTGCACATTCTTGATATTTTAAAAGATGCCACTTGTTTTTTGTTGATTCCTTGCCACTATCAGAAAACAACAAAAAACAATGTTCCTCTTATGAATTACGCAAATATGTGTAATGAATATAAGACTGTTCTGCATCTTGCCGCAACTGCATTTTTGTTATTTAATATATATATATATATATATATATATATATATATATATATATATATATATATATATATATATATATATATATATATATATATATATATAAACACTTTTTTTCTATCAAAATTGCTTAGTTAAGACTGCGAAACTGTCATAGTAATAGTTAATTATCAAAAATAGGCATGTATGTATGTATATGTACACTTTGATTTAAACTAATTAAGGGATTATGGTGCCCTGTGAAGCTTAGGAACCAAAGGAGTTTGTACTTTTCAAATTTAAACATTATTTTTAGTCTTACGATATCATAATTTCCATTGTCATGCAAACAGTTATCGAATTTTTCGCTACAAAATCATCAATAACTACATCTAGTTCATTTTTCACGAAACGCGGAGGTCTTAAACTCTATCGCAATAAATTATTTATTATGTATTATCCCTAAAAGAAATATGACGGTTTCAGAAAATATTCATTGGACTTATAAGTGTCTAGGTTAAGTGCGCACATTTTTAGAAAAGTATTATTATAAAGTGGTTGTCCTCCCTGAAAATAAGGGTCTAGGTTTAGTGCGCAAATTTTTAGAAAATTATTATTATAAAGTGGTTGTCCTTCCTGAAACCAGTAGAGGTAGCAAGGTATTAAGATATATGCCACGCGCCTCTAGCTGTAGCTTTAAAATCTCAAGGCAACAATGCTAATTTCAAGACGATGATGTCAATGTAACGGCTTCTCTCTGTATAGCCCTACATAACGATTATTCGTTATTACCAAATTACAGCAATAATCGCGTTCAATGTGCGAAATTTTGGAAGGACAGTACTGGCGAGTACTGTATTGTTGCCGTTAATTGGCCAATCGTTGGAAACTCCATCGTCATTGAATGAATAGAATTGCCGGTCGTTCCGTTCTCCCGAGACTCTCGTTTATTATTAATCCGGTTAATTAACGATAAAAATCGATCACATTGTTTTCGGGTTATAAAAAAACTTTCTCTGAACTTAATTAGCGAGGGAACCCGCGGTGTGCGATATGAGGACGAGAAATGAATTTAATTCGTATTTGTTTTTGCATTTTCTAGAACAGGTTCTTGAAGAATTTTGTGTGATTTTATTTTTACGAATTCCGTTGTAAAATTTTTAGATATTGAAACTTATTTCATTTTAAATTTGCATAGGTCCCAATTTTTTTACTGAAATTTGAAAATACTTGTTTTATTACGTAGGATGTTCCGCAGTGACCTGTATCGTTCCATTATGGGAAAACTTAACTACCAGAATATGGTACGTATTATAATAATGTGATAGAGGTCATCCGGTTAAAATATTTTATGATATTATTTGATGCAGGATGTTTCCTTGGGTAATAAAATATTGTCTAGTATCTCCCCACTAATTAAATTGAAACCCGCTTTTGGCTCTCGTTAAGATAAAAGTGTGTACCAAATTTGGATGAAATATCTCAATAGATGTTCTGTATTTCGTACTCTTAACTTTGAATAAATTTTTATTTGTTTTACTCCTAGAAATCAGGAAAATCTTTTGTTTCTTGTACTATATTCTATATATTATTATGATAATTTTATTTGTTGGTACTAAAAAACTTGACCAAGATATTTCGAATATTATATCATTTTAATAGGATAGCATAGGATAATTTATTTATAAAAAACTGCATTTTTAAGCGGCAAACTAATTGGAAATATATTATTTATTTAGTCAGCAATTCAATTACTTCCAAAAATCTCCTAGGGATAAACAGTATTAGAGGTCTGCAAGTCTCTAGGGAAATGTTGGTCCAAGCTTCTCTTCTTCATTTAGCGATCATCATCTTCCACAGATTTTCTATTGGCCCTGTAAAACATCTAAATAATTATACTGTAACCAAGCAGTGACCCTCCTAGCAGAATTTTCAAAGTACTGATAATTTTTTTTTTCTACGTATGGTTGCATCACGCTTACCAGTACGTTGATGTATTCATGCTGATTCATGATACCAGTTATTCCATTCCAGCAGAAACTACCCCATGCCATGATACCACCTCTAAATTTCACTGTTTTCATAGTGTAACGCGTGTCATATTCTTTATTTCGTC